GAGATCTAACCTGGCCGTTGTAGATTAAGCCACCAGATGAACCTAAGGTAGTGGTTCCCCAATGTGGGGCACAGCCCCACAGGGGGACTATTTGATTTTTAAGGGGGGCAATTTGAGAAAGTTATTAACAGTGAATTTTTTGCATTTCTTATAATTCTAGGGGCCTCATATACAATATATATAAATATATAGTGACATTTATGCATTTCAGTTCTCTATTATATGTTTTGAAACTTTATTTGCTGTTTTTTCATATCCCTTTATATTATTATTTTTATAACAATTTCTTAGTGATTTCTTCCTCAGTACTTCAGCTGTCCTTGTGTTCTTTTATTTTTCTCTTTCATGGATGCCATGTTCTTTGGAAGCTTGTGAGACCAAGTTAATGGCCTTTTAGGCTTCCTCCACATGAATAGGAGTTCACTTTTTGAATAATAAGAATTATATGTCCCGGGGGGGGGGCGCGGAGGGGGGGCATCAGGATTTTAGAGATGCTTAGGTGGGGCATGGCCAAAAGGAGGTTGGGAACCACTGCCCTAAGGCCCAAATGCTGACTGAGGCCCTTCAAGGGCCGACCTCTCCTCTGGGCTGCTCGACCTCCTCAGTCTGGGCTTTGGGGTCCTTGCTGCAGTGGTTTTCTTTCCATACAAACATCCTGCTCTTATAGGTCTTATAGTCTAGTGGCAAGAATAATTAGTAACCTGGATAGTAACTTAGAAAGTGCATGGAGTCAGGAAGTAGCAGGAAGCATGGGGGCTGCACCTGGAGGAGGGCGGTGAGAACTGAGGGTGCCAAGAGGGGACTTTGGTTCTCTTGGGTAATGTCCGGCCCTGCTGGTCTCTCACCAGCAGCTGACTGTCCCTACCCTTCTCACTTTCCACATAAACAACCAGCTCAGACCACCTTCCTTTACCTCCTCGCCCTGAGCTGTGCCCTGCTGTCCGGGAGCGAGGCTTTATCTTTCTGGCGGCCTTCTAATGGGATGTCGGCGGGCAGGTGGTCCCTGGTCTCGGGGTCTCTGTCTTGCCGAAGACTTTGTACGTTATCCTAGGGCGATGAGAGGCAGTCATGGTTGAGTGTGGTTTCTTTTAGAAAGAGGAAGGACAGGAAGAAGGAGACCAGTGAGGGGATTCAGAGTGTGGCGGTGGGGAGCTGGCCTGTGGGTTAGGTCCGTCCTCTGCTGGGCTACTCGTGAAGTGGTGTGGTCACAGCACCCTTCTTGGGGCTATCACAGTTTAAACTGGTTTGCATTTCTAAAGCCTGGAACATGGTAAGCGCAAGTAAGGTTCTAAATTAAGTAAAATAATCGTATTCAATTTTTTAGTTTTCATTTTTAATTGGTTCAGCTTTTTCTAGCAGCATTATGTTTTGGTAATATGTTTTACTGTTATTGCCACTATTTTTTTAAATCTTTGTTATTGCTACTATTAATATTAGCTAATATAAGAATAATCAACTTTTATTTTCATTAAATATGAGCATAATAGGCTAATTATAGAAACTAAGAAAAACTATAGTTATGGGAAATGAATACCTTTGCTATTGGTTTGGATGTTAATATATTTAGCAGTTTGAGAGAGACACATCTATTGGTTACCTCTCACATTCACCCTAACTGAGGCCGGGGATTGAACCTGCAACCCAGGTATATGCCTTTGACCAGGGAATTGAACCTGTGACCCTTTGTTGCATGGACCGATGCTCTAACACTTAACAACACTGGCCAGGGCGGCATCTTAAGTATAAGGATTTTGTAGGAAAATAAGTCTAATGCACTTATCTTAAAATTAATTTAATTTCAGTAATGCCTTTAAAAAAACAAAACCAATCTGTTTTGATGCTTATAATCAAGTACCTGCAGGTTGTAGCTCTGGGCTACAAGGTGTGAGGAAGAAATCCAACGGGTAACTGTAATATTTTTGTTAATTCAGTATCTGTGGTTGTGTGATTGAAGTTGTGTACTAACCGTAAACCTGTCGGAGTGATTTCATGTTGCAAAATCCCAAGGAGGGCTGTAATGGGATTCATTTCAGTACGTCCTCATGCTGATAATTGTGTTTCCAATGGCGTGGCATGTTGCAATGGCCTTGGACTGTCCTACTGTCTGAAGAAAGAGTGGAGATGAAACAGGTCAGGCCTTGTTCACTGCGCACACGCCTAACGCTCTGCAGTCCTGAGTGCTGAGAAGAGACACTGGGCAGGTCAGGGTGCGGTCCAGGCGTGCGGGCTCCGTACCGAAGAGAGTGGCGACTCTGAGGCCAAGGCGGGTTTGCCGCAGGACCTCGTAAGTCTTGTTTACACCAGCACTGTCGTCGTTGTTTACACCAGCACTGTCGTCGGTGGGCAGGTTTCTGAAGGCTTTCTGTCCACAGTGACAACTTTGCAGCGGGCCTGGGCCGTTCCTGCTTTGAGCACCAGCAGACCAGCACCCAGGAGCCCTCAGCACTTCCTTGGTCCTGGGCAGACCAGCATGATCGGTCACCCGTGTGTGGAGTTTTAAAGGTTTGCAGGTCATGCTGTGATTCTTGTAGAAGCTGTGAGGGAGGTGGACTGGTGCTGCTGTCCCCGGTCTGCAGGTAGTGGCAACGGAGGCTGGGACTGCAGAATCACCCAGGCAGGGGAGCTGGCGGGAGGGTGTCCTGGGAATGAAGCAGAGCAGATGTGGGGAGTGGGCGGTCCTCTCTGCAGGTGAGAGGACAGGTATCAGGACTCAGTAGGTGTCTTAAAGTTGACCACACATGAATCCAATCAATAGGGAGGTATTTTTTTTTCAGGAAAGATGACAGTAATTTCCTATTATACTTAGTTGATTCTTGTCGCCCTTCACCAGTGAGGTCTTTGTTAGGTTTTTCAGTTGTCCTTTGGTGCTTATACGCCATGAAAGGGGCGGTGTTTTACGAAGGCTGAAGCTGTGATTCTGGGTAGGTTTTGGGCGATGATGCTGGACCTGAGTTAGTTTGTGTGGGTTTGCGAGAGACCAGCTTTTCTCCTGAATTCCACAATGTCATAAGTGGTTCTAGTATAGTGTTCTTAAAGGGCTGAGGCGGGGCTTTGCCCAGTGATGTTAGTGCTACAAGGTCTCCCCTGCACCAGGCATTGTTGTTCTCAAGGAGAGCAGTCCGGAGGAGCTGTGCACCTTTGGACGGGTGGACGCACAAATGTCTGAGGATGCTGTCTGTTCCCACACATTCAGTATCTGTGGTTGGAGCAAGCAGAGTGTGTGTCTGGTCGGGGTTGGTCTTCAAGTCCCCAAATAATTTCTGTCACCTTCATAGAGAGCATATTAGAAGGAGTCTGTTGGTAGCGAGGGTGAGGGGTTGGGGAGAGGCTTGGTTTTAGGTGTTATTTGGGAAAATCTGTTGTGCTGTATCTCTCGGCATTTAAGAGTAGGATGAACCCGTATCAAAACTGGTTTAGATTAGTCGTATGTGGAAGCTAGTCATATGTGGACCTGTTCTGTTCTGGTATTTCTCGCTATAGTATCTTTAACTGCACGGTTGTTGAAAACCATTCTGCTTTACTGTAGCAACCTGCCACCTGGCTGACCAGATGCCACTGTAGTTCATATATTCCCAAGGTTCTTGCTCCTTCCACAAAGGACTTTTAAAGTGTTGTGTTTATCTAAGATCAGGAAACCTAAATAAGTTATTTTGGTCATAACCATTTGTCTTTGACATTTTGCAGTCAGTCATCCTATCCTATATAATAAAACCCTAACATGCAAATCGACCAAACAGCAGAATGACTGGTCACTATGACATGCACTGACCACCAGGAGGCAGATGCTTGACACAGGAGCTGCCCCCTGGTGGTCAGTGGGCTCCCACAAGGGGAGCGCCACTCAGCCAGAAGCCGGGCTCACGCTCATGGCTGGCAAGCGCAGCAGTGGTGGCGGAAGCCTCTCCTGCCTCCACTGCAGGTGGGTGGTAAGGAGCGAGGGGTCCCAGACTGAGATAGGGATGTCAGTCTGTGAGAGGGATGTCTGGGACCCCTCAGGGGATCAGGCCTAAGCTGGCAGGCAGACATCCCTCGAGAGGTCTGGACTGCGAGAGCATAAAGACATTTGAACCAGCACATTCCCTCTGGGGAGCACAACCACCACGCCATCCCCTTCCCTCTCCCTCTCTCCTTCCCCCACCGGCATGCATCTCCTAAACTCTAAGGGACCCTACAAGACTTGCAAACAGGGGAGCAATGGGCAGCAGCAGCTCGTCCCAGCCTAATCCTCAGATCCTGTCCCCAAGGCCCTCTTTTCTCTGACTTCCCAGAAAGCTAAGGCAGCCCAGCCTAGGCTCCCCTGTTGTTTCTTCTATACTAAGCCCACCCTTGTTTCACTGTTCCCAGCTTTAATAAATGTTCCCTCATAGAAAAACAAAAGAACCAAAGCTCCATGCAGCTGTTAAGGTTTGCTTCAAAAATACTTTCAGTGACTACCCGGGTCATGAAAAGAAGCAGTTTTCATTTTTTTTTTTTGTTTTGTCTTGAGGCTTTGACCAACTCCAAGGTCCTTGTTCTGTTCTCAGGCTGAATCACCAGGTTGCTTTCAAGATAGTTAAATGTCCTTTCACGTCCACGCCTTTGCCAGTCTCAGACATTACCACTTAAAATACATGTGCCATTTAATAAATAAAAACATTATTTCATTACTGTCTCAAGGGCTAAGCTTTAAAGAGTAAAATCTTCAAATGACCTTTTTATGCTGATCAGATAAGTAACTCATGGGCTAAGGCAGCCACACGTGGACCTGGGTGTTTCCCTCCATCCATGGCTTTCTGCAGTTCTTTGTGTAGTGGTGACCATTTTGCATTTTTTCCCCCTTTTCTTTGAATTTATTGTGGTGACGCTGGTTAACAAAATTATACAGGTTTCAGGTGCACAGTTCCACAACACGTCATGTATACACTGTATTTTGTGATGCTCTGACCAGGATGGTGTGTTAAAGACCAGCTTTGTCGCTCTATTAGCTGTTGTATTTATTATGACTGTTGTTGTTTTCTCAGGCCGGTCTAATTGAAGCCAACGGGGAACTAAAGGTCTTCATAGACCAGAACCTTAGTCCTGGAAAAGGTAAGGGCACCTACTTTGGAAATGTGAGTTTGTTGATAAATGCGTGAAGTTTGCTGTATTTGTGAATTTTCTGCTATGAAAGCCCTTGTCAGCTGTGGAAACCCACCTTGGGAGCCCTCCTGCCTGGGAGCCCCCATGATGGACTGGGAGGAGTGGCGTTCGGAAGTCACTCAGACACACCTCCTGCACACACACACCAGTGGCTGAGTTTATTTTGGTTTGTAAGTCGCATACTGTTGGCAAAAATTCAGGAAATGTGGAAAAGTGAAATGAAGAAAACACAGGTCACTTGTGTTCTGTCCACCTCATGGCCTGGAGCTGGGGGTGTGCTCTCCAGGCCTTTGCTCTGTGGCCAGCACTGAAGCAGATGGACACAAACTTTAAGGGCTCACGGTGCGGGGCACACCTCACAGTGCGAACAAGAGTCCACGTCAGTGGCTGTGTGTGTATCTTCGTTATTTCTCTGGGGATCAGCGTTGCTCTGCATCACTAGAATGCAGGGAGGATCAGCTAAAGCCACGCCTTCCAGTGGTCCCTCAGTTTGCAGTTTCCCTCTGAGAACGTGTATTTGAACATGCTGGCTACCTCCTCAGGTAAAGTCGTAGCCGTGGAGTTACTGGATCCACGTGAAAGATATGTGCCTTTGAAGCGTAGATGTGTGATGCTTGGCTGATTGTAAAGCTGTGTTGGTGTGGAGCTTTGGTATCAAGCAAGCCCATTTGGTGCAGCTCATTGTAATACTGCTCAGAGAAGACCCGAGGGAGACCTGGTTTGTCTTAAGGAGGTTTTGCTTGCAGGGGTGGATGAAGTCCAGGTGTGTGGCTCCAGCTCTCCTGTCCACTGTCTGTGTCAGCCAGGCTGGGGCCAGAGGCCTTGTGCAGTGTTAGGGCTTAGGTTCTGTTTAAGGATTACTTCTTTCTGCTTTTTCTAGTGATTGTCATACATAAGATTACTTTTTTACTCTAACAGTGAGGCCCTAATAAGTGATCTTTTGATGCCAACTATAGCCTTGGGGATTTGCAACAGGTGTGGGGCCCTCACTCAGTCTTCCCGCTGTGTCCCAGCCCCTTCATGTCTGTCCATCCATTACTGGTGAGCACTGGACAGAAACCCGGCCATCTCCTGCCTCATCCATTCCCCTCTCCCGGGAAGCTCGGTCCCTGTGTGACTGAGCAAGTCTGGTGTGTTGTGGGCTCACACCCTGCCCCCTCGGTTGCATCGGGACGGACTTATCTTCAGATGCCCATGGAGGCTTGTGCACACGGCCACATGCTGTGTGCACCTTGGCCTGCACCCTGTCCAGGGCTTGACTGATCTCCTCTTGCTCCAGGCCTAGGCTCACGCCTGCTCTCCTGGTTTCACTGCTGGAATGTCATGGGCGTGCCCTGCACTTCTTTTCTCTTTGTCTGAGGATGGAGGCCCACTGAGGGATTTGGATTTGGTATTGGCATACTTTTTAATCTTGATACGTTGTGAAGCTAATTTTTGGCATTCACAGATTGCTTGAGTGAAAAATTCAGTGTAAGTAATTGAACATTTAAATTTTTCGGGCATTTGAAGCATGACATTTTCTATTAAAGTGATGAAGCAGAAATAATGGGAAAAAAATAAAGAAACTTTGCTCCCTTGGAAATGATGGAAGCCTTTCATTCTGGTGTTTATTTTGAATTTCTCTCCAAGTAAGCTTACTTGTGACCACACATTGGCTGTCTCCTTTTCCTTTCCGATTGAGTTTAATTGTGAGCCAAGGAATTGAATTGGAAGGATGGAAAAATAATAGTTTCTTGACTCTACTAAGATGCTTTGGTGTTGGCTCCCTGCAGCGTTTAAAATACTTCGTGTCTCCCTCGGGCATGGCCTAGCTTCTCTGCAGCCGCCTCATCTTACCCTTGTGTTCTTCAGCTCATTTTTCGGCCTCACTCACCCCACTCGCCTTTGCTGTGCTGCGTTGCCATTGGGAGTCCCCTGACCGCATGCCTAGGCCTCGCTCATCCTCCTGACCAGTCTCGCCTGGTTGCCCCGTGGATGGTGGAGTCCAGAGCCAGTCCTGGGACCAGTGCAGCCTCCAGCTGGTCTGGGCTCCTTCCTTCTCCCAAGGCCCCTCCCTGGCCCTTCTACCTCACAGCAGTGCTTTAGGGAGAAGGCGCATGGCAACGTCTCCACAACCCCACTCCGCAGCTCTGCGCGAGCCGCCACGTTTCTCCTGCTCCTTCCAGAGAATTAGCTTTTAACAAGTGGAGCTATTTGTCTGTTCATGCTGTTCTGGCCGGTGGGGGCTTGGATGTGGAGAGAGTAGGACCAGGCCGTCTGGCCGCCACCCTTGTGCACTGACGGACAGGCTTTCAGCAGCAGCGTCGCCTGTTGCTTCTGGTTCATGAGTTTAAGGATAGTTGTAAGCAGTGTTGTACTAACTTGAACTGTTCGCTTTGGGTTCTTTATTAGTATTTCATTAGCTTGGAGAGCCCCATGAGCAACACATTGTGGTGTCATTTGATTCAGTGGTCACTGTGGGCACTTCCCATGGGGCAGTTGGCAAAGGCTTGGGGTCACAGTGAGTAAGGCTCAGGACTCCCCCCCCCCCCCCCCCCCCCCCCACACACACACACAGCTCTCTGGAGCCCAGGGCGTCGTCAGCAGCATGTCCTGGAGAGCCAGTCTTTCTGGAGTGACTGTGAAGGAGCAGGGGCTGGTTCTCACTGTGGAGGTTTCGGTAGTAAGGATGGGATGGTCCTGAGGAGAAGGCTGTGGCCCAGGCCAGGAGAGGCTGGGGCATCCAGTGCAGGGACTGGCCTCGCCTCCTGCCCTGCACCGTGTACCTGTGGGGCTAGTGGGGCTAGTTCACCATTGCTCTCACGCCCACCCACCGGGAATTCAGGAGCAGGCCAGTCCTGATTACTGCCACTTCCTGGGAACCTTGTTGCCTTCGGCTAAGAACCCGAGACATCCTCAGATGAGGCCAGACCCAGCATCCAGTTCCCTCCTCGTCTCCTCCTGTTGGAGTTCTGGCTTTGACTCACTTCCTTGCACCTGGGCCCTACTGTGCCCCTGCTCTGGGCCCTGCCACTCTTGCCCCATTGGGGTTCTCATCCTCACACCACTCCCAGTCTTGCCTCCCTGCCCACCCAACTCTGGATCACTCCTTTTCTTAAAGCTGCTGTGTTTCCTGACCCCGGTGCCAGCCAGAGTTCTCTCGAGAGGCAGAGTTGGTGGAAAACACGTTGTGTATGAAGGAGGGGTGTTTCAAGGAATCACCAGCCTGTGTGCTGTGGGGTCGGCAGGTCTGAAATCGTCAGTCAGGGCAGGCCGGCAGCCTGGAAACAGGCAGGAGCTGGGGCTGTAGTCTCAAGGCGAAACTCCTTCTCAGGGAAACCTCAGGTTTTGCTCTCAAGGCTCTCGGCGGGTTAGATGGTTTATCCAGGCGCATGGCAACTTTAGGTCCTTCTTTACCTAAAGTCTATGTTTGTCGATCTCACCACATCCACAAAGAGCTGCCAGTACAGCCCCCAGGCTGGTGTTCGATGGGATAATGGGACTAGTAAGTGCCTTGGCAAACTGACACATAAAGTTGGTCATAACACCCTGCGAGACTCAAAAATCTACTTCCCCCAGAAAAATGCACTGACCTCACAGCCTTTGCATCCACGGGCCCTGAAGACAAGAGGTTTAGACAGTAACTTCTGTGTGCAGTTTTAGTTGTGACAGCCATCTGGATTGCTTCCGATTGTTTGCTCACGGCTGTAACACCGTGTGAGTCTTTGCACACACATTTGTTTTTGTGATTTGGGCAGACGCTTAGGAGTGGAAACTAGGTCACATAGCAAATGTATATGTGGCTGCATTGTTTTGCTTCCAGTTGCTCCGCATCCTCACTAATGTGTGATGTTGTCAGTGTTTTCTACTTCATGTGTCCTAATTGGTCTTTCCTCTTACTTCCTTCTTGCCTGTGGCCTCACACTGCTGGAAGGAGTCTGTCCGGGTGCGGTGCCTGTCGCCTAAGGCCCCGCCCCTACCCTGCACCTCGACCTGGATGAGTTCCAGGCCCGGCCGATCCTCCCGCTTTATTCCTCATGGTTCTTGCTTGGGTCTTTTTCCCCAGCCAAACAGTAATGGTGCACAGGCAGCCTTCCCCCACCACTCAGGTGCCCACACAGCCCTTCCTTCCAGCCTGCGCCCTGCCCGTCCCCTGCACAGACCTGACCTTGGACCACAGCTCAAGTGTGCCCTTTTTTTCTGTACTCTGGGTCTCTGTTTGCACTTCATTACGCTTCCTGCCTTTTCAAACTGAAAACTTATTTATTATCCAGATAATATATGCTTACTGAGAAAAACCCCAGCTGTATCTGAGAGTAAAGTTAAACATGTAAATGTATGTTAAAGTGCATTCTTCCTATTTTGGGAACACTTTTCTGCACCCGGTGTCCACACACACAATGCATTGAGATGTGTGGTGATCCTCTTCATGCTGTGTGCAACTGCACTTTGTTGTAGTTGGGCTGTTCTGTCAATTTCTAATGTTACTTTTTGTTACCTGGCACCTTGTTAGTGTGGAGCTCTAATACCTGTTGATTGATTAGTGACATAAACCTGTCTTTTTTCTGAAGAGCTCTAAGGCCCCTTATGCTAGACACGTTTAGGTCACTGTCTTCAGCTCCTGGAGGTAGTGCCCAGGGCCAGACAGTGAAGGTGCAGCATGCAGGGTCGCCACATTCTAGTCATGTTAATATAACAAAATATTTGTAGCACGGTGGCAAAATAGTAACTCTTAAAACATTAGATTCCAAAACTTTAAGATGTTTGGTTAAAATTATTTCCAAGAAAACACTAAACCATATGTTTTCATAATTTATCTTAAAAACCTATACAGTATGTAATAATAGACTATGATTACTAATTATAAAAATATGCTTATATGGTTATTTTTAGAATTCTTTTTCTTTTAATGGTTATAGCAATCAGACCATGTATGTTCTTTTAAAAAAAATATTTTTTTTATTGATTTCAGAGAGGAAGGAAGAGGGAGAGAGAACTAGAATGGGGATCGAGCCTGCAACTTGGACATGTGCCCTTGACCGTAATCGAACCTGGGACCCTTCAGTCCACAGGCTGATGCTTTAGCCACTGAGCCAAACCAGCTAGGGCAGACCATGTATATTTTTAACTCAATTTTTTGCCAAGAAAGGAATTCTCCATTGTATAATGTTATATTTGAAAATATTTTATTATGGAGTTTCTTTATAAAAGGCTGTGTAGTACATTTTACAGTTGAAACAATATTATTTCTAGCTAGTAGATTCCTAGACTGTTGTAATTTAACCTATCTTGTAACTGAAATGTTAATTCCCCCATAAATAGATTGCATGTAGCAGTCTTTATTAGAAAAATGTGCTAAACATTCTAATTTTTACCACTAAATTAAACAAAAAATGAAATACCATTTTATTTTCGAGATTGTCAAAAAGTGACAAGTCTTACTGAGTCAACAATTGGCAAAAGCCTAGGAGAGGAACACTGGGGGGTGTGTACCTGTGGGGTGTGTATTTGTGTGTACATATTTGTGGTGCGTTTGTGGTGTGTGTGTTTGCATGTATGTGTTTGTGGTGTGTATGTGGTGTCTGTGTTGCATGTATGTGTTTATGGTGCATGTGGGTGTGTGCGTGCGTGCACACAGGATAGCCACATGGAGGTACTGCAGTGAAGCCTGTAATACAGAAGGCCGTCTGGGACCTTGGCACATCTTCATGAGAGAAAACGCCTGGGAGGGACTCCTACTCAGCAGTGGGAGGTCCCCAATTAACTGCCTTGTCTTAGTAGTGACATACTGAGGGTGTTTTCCTATGACATCTAGGTATAAATAGATGAAATAGCATTACAGCATTGAAGGAAATCAAGTAGATCTCTGTATGGCTAAGTCTCAAAAACAGTGTAAACAGAGTTGCAGAATTCCTTGAATATATGTCATTTTCTAAAATTTTAAAGGGTGACAGAGACATTTTTCTTGGATTCATATGTGGACAGTATGAGAATGGACTGAATGCATCCATCAAGCAGTGATATTTGCAGGCGGGGCCCGGTCGGGGAGAGATGGGGCAGTCTGGGAGTGTAAGATTAGCTCTACTGCTCAAGTCTCTTTAGCAAATACAATAAAATGGTAATAATTCTAGGTGTACTGGAGTAAGACTGCAAAAACAGTTCTTTATATTTGAAGAGTTTCCCAATAAAAACACAAGGGAGAAACCCTGGTGGGAACGACAGATAGTGTCGGCAAGCAGATGGAAGAAGGGAGCCCTGGCCCCACCCACTTCTGCCTCGAAGATCTGCCGTTGCCCTGAAACCTCCTTGTTTCCCTGGCTGGGGCATAAAGTGGGAGTCCCAGATTGGGGCTCTGAGGTTGCTATTTTATGGAAAGACAGTAACTGTGGTTCTGGGGTGGTATGTGCTATGCCGTGTAGTGGGTGGCAGGTATGGCTGCACCAGGTCTAGCACTAGAAGATGACTGCCTGGGCCTGTCTATTGATGTGTTGACTTCCATAAGTTTGATGTGCAAAGTAAGCTTTAAAACAATGATGTCATAAGCACTGCCTGAGCTGCTGATGTTGGCAGTGACTGTAATCTCTTTTCTTTCTTTAAATTCACTGAAAATTAGAGAATCACTTGCATATTAAAACAAAACTAATCTTACCTTTTACAATGAATCAATTTAGTATTTTGGAAACTTATTCGTTATTAATCTATATGTGTGAATCTGAAAAGTAATATATTTAATTGTACTTTAAATCTCTAAAATAGAATAACTTTATTTTTGTCTTTTGAAGTATTTTTAACAGATCTAAAACAATATTCAAAATATTTGCTTTTGTTAAGATATACAGTTATATGGAAAATAATATAATCCTATATAATAAAGAGGTAATATGCAAATTGACCATCACTCCAGCACACAGGATGGCTGCCCCCATGTGGACACAAGATGCCCCCCCATGTGGACACAAGATGGCCGGCAGGGGAGGGCAGTTGTGGATGATCAGGCCTGCAGGGGAGGGCAGTTGGGAGGGACCAGGTCTGAAAGGGAGAGCAGTTGGGAGCGACTAGGCCTGCAGAGGAGGGCAGTTTTGGGGGGGACCAGGCCTGCAGGGGAGGGAAGTTGGGAGGGACAAGGCCTACAGGGGAGGGCAGTTGGGAGGGACAAGGCCTGTTGGGGAGGGCAGTTGAGGGGGACCAGGCCTGCAGGGGAGGGCAGTTGGGGTTGTGGACTAGGCCTGCAGGGGACGACAGTTAGGGGCAATTGGGCTGGCATGGGAGCAGTTAGGCGTCAAGTCAGGCTGACAGGGGAGTGGTTAAGGGGTGATCAGGTTGGCAGGCAGGTGAGTGGTTGGGAGCCAGCAGCCCTGGATTGTGAGAGGGATATCCATCTGCCCATTTAGGCCTCATTGGGCCTGAACGGGCAGTCGGACATCCCTCGAGGGGTCCCAGATTGGAGAGGGTGCAGGCTGGGCCGAGGGACACCCCACCTCCCCGTGCACCAGGTCTCTAGTCCTATATAATAAAAGAGAAACATGGTAATTAGCCGTAACTTCGCTACCCTTCCCATTGGCTAATCAGGGCGATATGCAAATTAACTGCCAACCAAGATGGCGGCCGACAGCCAGGCTACTGACACGAACAGGCGGCTTGCTTGCTCCAGTG